GCTGTCACAAACCCATCACGCCCTGCGCTGCAGCAACAATTCAACCCCCCAGGAATCACCATATTCCTTTTCCAGGGAGTGTTTCCGCAACTCCAGGCCACATTTTCCTTCCTTAACTTCACACCAACAAAACTTCGGTTGAATAAGGAGAACAATAGAAGCAGCTAAATACATTTCCATCCTCTCTGTCTCCTAGTAGCAAGCACAAATCCTGGGCTTGTAGGGATGCTGCCAGGCTTTTCGCTGGCTCTCTGCTATCGGGTTTGTTAATGTCTGGATGCAGCCCTCGCCCTTGGCCAAAGGCTCAACCTCTTACAAAGGCTGCTCAGAGAGATTTGGAGATTGCAGAGGTTTCTCTTTGCTGGGAATGACAGGCACATGAGCATGTGGGAAATGCCGAAAGATGCAATTAGTTTCCTCCTGGGCAGAGGCACCCGCTAGGCTTCTCCATCCAGATTCTATGAGCCTCTCCTAACAGCCATTGGGAGGCTCCAGGCTGATGGACGTTTCTTTAAATCTTGGGAAAAATCTGGATGTATAAATTGGACCTCCCAGCGAGTAGCATCAGCCTTGAGCCCTAACCAGGTCCCTCCTGCTGCTCCATAGTTTCGTCTCTCTTGGATCAGAAAGAAATGAGTTTAATGGAATGCTACATTTTTGTTGCCCTCTTCTTATTATTTTTATAAACCCCATTGGTAAGTAAAGCATATGAACGGAAGGAGACAGCTTACTTGATGCTGAAGCCAGTTTGCAAAGTAAAACAGTCATAAGCCACCTGAAAGGGGTGGGAGGGATTGTTGGCCCTATTTATACTTGGCTTATGCAGTGATTCCTTGAAAGTCAACAAGTGACTAAACCCCTATAAGAGAGCTTTTGACCAGTCATGTACTTAACTTCTATCATGTCTTTAGCCTGTCGAATAGTTTATCTCTACAACCTATGCAAAATCTAACATACATTTATTTCAGATTATGTATTATGTGTTATATAGATTTATATATATTTACATACAGATGATATATATTACATAGATCATATATATTAGGTAGGTATTAGTTTCTGGATGAAAATAGAATTAAAATCTCATTGGCTTTCCTGCTTGACTACACTACTCTGAGCTTTAATCCCCCCCTAAAATACACATATAAACATGGAAAACGTCTCCTGCCAATGCCACCCCAAACTTCCCAGGTAACATGAATTACACAGCCCCAACAGCACAGTTTGAGATGGAATAAAAATCAGCTTTATTCATTCCCATTTTCCTTACCTGGGCAACCATGTGTTTCTGCAGCATGCCAGCTCCCTCCTGCTCACGGGGATATGTACCCAAAGTCAGCTTTTTTCCAGCACTTGAGAGCAATTTAGAGCAGCTTAAACACTTCAGACCTCCAAACTCCAACTCCAGCCAGCCCCAGTAGCTGCGGCCAATTAATATTTCCTAAAAGCTGTTGATGTGCTGTTATCAAGTGTGTATTACACTGGGAATTTCACGGTATTTGAGTGAACGCTATCAGTGTTACAGGCTTTGAATGCCTCCGTCTCACCTGCTGGCAGGAGGAAAGGAGAGTTGCCGAAGCAGGGAGGCAGAGCAACGGGGATTCTCACAGTGTAACTTCCGAGTAGTTACCGTGCGCTTACAAGTGGTTCTCAGAATGGTTTTGGAGAAGAGGCGATGCGGGTGCTGGAACAGCCCCTCAGGTATGTTGGAAGAGTCTTGACAGCTCCCAACACTGAAAAACAAGAAGCTGGAAAAAATTAGTACCATTAGAAAGTCCTGAAATCATCAGGATCCTGGAAATAGTAAATAACCCCGGTGGAGAGCGATTTCTCTCTCCTCTTTTTTCCTTTCCTATGGAGACAGAGGAGAACAAAGAACTGTTTGTTTCATGATTCCTCATCTAGGAAGCATAACTGGCTCGTGCCTTCTGTGTTTCCTGTGCAGCCAAGGCTGCCAGATCATTCACTGCTCTGTGAGGAGCAATCCCTGTTTGAGGAGCAAGAGGGGACTTGAGGCAAGCACTGTGACATTTGCAGTACAAGACCTGGCTGCAGTAAAACACTGTTTTCCAGCTTCAATATGAATATGAGGTGGAGACCAGAATTAGTTATGAAGTGCCCTTCACTGTTACAGGCTTCCATGCTATGAAGGTTTTCCAAGTGGGATAATTGCACTGGCCTGGTTTGAAATGGTTCAATTAGGAATTTCTGAAGCAGCCTTCTGATGTTATTGGTGATTTCAGCTTTGTCTCTGCTGAGACACCTAAATAAGCAATGAGGAACACTGCAGAAGCTGCTGACATCCTTCCCATTAGACAGGTTCAGCTGGGATCAGCATTGGCCTCAACCCCGTCTGGAAAAGGGCTCTTGTACAAATACCAAGCAATCAGCCATCATAAGGTGGAAACCAGCAAATGACAAGCAAGACTTACACATCTAAATACCCAGAAACAAACAGCCAAGAAGGGCAGAAAGAGCTGACATTTCCCTGTCCTTATTACAACTACAAAAGCCATGAAGGAATCAGGGGTGCAAATCGCAGCTATTCTTCCTCCTTCCAGATCCTGCTGGCTTTCCATGATCAGGACACGTTGGCTCCTAGTACTCCCTATGAAAGGTTTCAAGCCGCCCTCAGGCTCTGTGCTGAAGTCTGCACAGGCACGGCATCCACCCCATGAAACCCAGATGGCCAGGGAGCACTGGGAGAGGATTCAAGAAAACAGCAAATACATTAAATGCGATCTCTATCATGCTTGTGTAGTTCATTTCTTTTTTTGGTGGCACAAAGGGAAAGCCGCACAGGGAAAAGAAATGAAACTAATTCATGTGGGGAGACCTATATACCAGGGATTTAGGGGCTTTCTTTGGGGTTATTTTGTTGGGTTTTCAGTTTGCGAAGTTCCACAGCTCTGCTCTCTTTAAAACATGTTATCCTCAGGTTTACAGTTAAACAACCAAACGAATGGGGCTGCAGCAGTCCATCCAACACGCAGCAAGGCAAGAAACTTGCCTGAAGCCAAAAGTACGTACCCTGGAGGAAGCCACACTCAAACCTGCTCCCACAGCAGCGCTTCGTCTTCACACCTCCCCTTCTGCAGTAAGGGGCACCCAGTTTCCCAGGCAGGTTTTGGGGGTTGTTTGGGGTTTTTGTTCATGTAAACAAGGAAAGACAGGCAACAGCTCTGCAGCCACCAATGCGGTTTCTTCTTCATGTAGCTGCCTCCATGAGGCGGGAAGGAGTTTGCCCACAGTTGGGGCACTTTGCTGACTCAGCACGGCACTCAGCAGTCACGTTCCCATGGGAACATCCGACATGTCCTTTGCAGGCAACTTTTTGCTTTGACCCCTGCAAACTCCCATTCGATGCAATAAAACACCGCTGGACATACACAGCTAATCACGAGAGGGCTGCGTGGCTGGTGGGTAAGGAACAGGCACAGCCCTGCCGTGGGTTCCTACAGCTCCTGCCAGACTGCAGGGTGGGAGTGTCTGCTCATTTTAATTGCCCCCAAATTGCTGTGTGAAGGAGGCATGCTCAGATTTAAACAGATGTAGTTTAAAGAATTAGGTGACAGAAGCCTTATGGAGGAGGGGGTTTTCTTCTCTCTCAGGTGAGTGGGTGATGATTTTTATAACATCTCCAACTCTTAAAACATGCAACTGTTTGGGCCAGAAAATTAAGTTTACAAAGTCCTAAGGAGCCATGAGCTTGATCTCCCCACCCCCAGCTGCTTCTGTGCTACCTGTAAGTATACCTAAACCTTTCAGCACAACACCTAAGTCCAATACATACCTTGAAGCGGCCCTGGGTACCCTTATCCCTGCAGTCTCCAACCTCCTCCAACCTCTCCAACCACCACAGCAGGGTCAATTCTTCAGGTCCAGAGCTGAGCAAAGCTCTCAGCTCATGTGGCTCCAAGGCAAGTCAATACCAGGAGATCAGCCAACCAAAGTCTCAGGGAAATGGTGACTGGGAAGGCTTGGCAGGTACCAGCACTGCCATGGAATGCCATTTGCTGGCTCTATTCAATGCTCCTCCTTGCAATGGAGGAGGTGGATGCTGATGAAGCCACCTCCTCTGCTTCCCACAGCTCTCACTACTTTGCCCACCTTTTGCAGGTTGAGGACAGGGACTGTACGCTCTCCAAGGCAAGGGCTGTTTCTCTACTCTCTTGCCCAGCGTTCCAAGCAAGTGCTTTTCAGTTCTGTAGAACAACCACTACCTTTCCTGTTTCTTCTTATTCTTGGCACAAAGGATTTTGAATCGCTTCCAACTGAGGTTAAAAGCATTTAAGAGTCTGTTTGCACAGTGCCTTTTTTTCAAGTGACCTCTAGTTGTAACACACACTTCCCCCAGCATACACAAAAACACCCGGACAGCTCGTAGCTTAGAACTGTCCTCAGATTCCTAAGAAAAACCTCTAGAGTAAATTTTTCTCTCCTTTGAATTTTACCTATTGCTTGGTTTTCAAACTTTGTATTTGAAGATACGCCACACATGCCCCGTCCTGGATGGGGGGAGAAACTAAGAACTAGACAGAGCGCAGTAATTCACATCACCTTGTTTCCAAGGCAGAACACCAAAATACTGCTTGCAAAACATATTTTAATGCTATAATATTAGGCTCTCAATTAAACTTTATTAATTTCACCCATGGGAGTTTGTTAGCACAAGCCGAAGGAACTCCCAAGGGCTCTCACTAAAATCCTCTGCACTAAGCCTCGTCGTTTCTGCAGCTACAGAAAAGGGGGAAATGCATACTTCAAAGCACCAGAGCCCAAATTCTGCACACACGCGCAGTACAGTTTCAATTCATTGTTAGTCCCAAGGAACAACACGGATTTACTCACTGGACTGAAGCTTCCTACAGGCACAACCCTGTTTGCAGAAGTGAGGTGCTCGAGCGGCGGCTCACGAACAAGATGTACAGACGGCTCCAAGAATGGGACTCTCTGCTTTTTCTGGATCCTGGCATCTCCCAAAAAAGAGAGCTTTCAGATTTAATTAAATTTTACTATTTTATTTGTGAAAAAACTACAAGCAGAATTCATAAATAGACATTTCTATTTAAAGCAGGAAAATGATAAAGTGGCTTCTAATAACAGTCGTGCACATGCCAGTAACAGGAATATATTAACATCTTTTATTTGCTAGACAAAGAGCAGTGTCCAATATAAATTTCCCAAAAACATTTAAGACCTGTGAATTTCTGACCAGTTCACAAAACCACCATTGACACTTTAGCATGAAGATTAAAACAAACCTAACAGGACTGTCAGCTCTAAAGACTTTACAGAGCGGAAAAACTTTCAAGAGCGTTATACAAGCTGTCTTTCTGGGCAAATGAAAAATATAGCTCGTATAATACATTAACATAAAAATCCACAAGATAAGATTATGTTTTGACATACTTAAACAAGCATTCTATATTTGTCTCCAACAAACAAAGCTAAGGAAATAATGTAACCATCTTTACACAGTAAATTAAGGTTACAAGTCATACACAAGAACAGAACTGCTTGCGCATTAAAAACTGTTCAGCTCCATTGTCATACTCTAAATGTTGGCTCTTAAAACCATTCGGTTACATACAAGCAAAGGTTATCATATAGTCAGCAATTAATAAATTTTCAATAATTTAAGTGTACGGTAGAGCTTAAAAAAGTAGACTGAGAATGATCTTGGTAAGGCAGGTGAAAACATCTCAGTGGAAATAAAGTCACAGAAGCTGCTGCCAATTGTTTTGATCTGTCCAATTTGAAACAAGCAAAGTGTTCCAATTAAAATAAATAGCCTGGTGGTGTAAAACGCTGTCATTTTCCCTTTGCAGAACTACATCAAACTGAGCAAGTCAGGCAAGCTGTGTTGGTGTCTGTGTGTGTGTGTCTGTGTAAGAGTTGAAACTTTGCAAACGTAACACTGTGCTTTACTTACCTGCTTTCTGTGCCACTGAACACCACGAATCCGTCCTTCCCCTATGCTAGTGTTTTGGTTGGTTTGGTTCTTAAGCACGTTCCCCACCAACAGTGGGATAACGCAGAGGGAATCCCACCCATGGACACATGTCGTCAGGATGCTAACTTCAGAAATTAAGTGTAAAAGCAAACACTATCTGTCAAATCCACAACACAACAGCTACGGATGAGGCTGGGGAGGTTCAATGCTTAGCTAGCAATTTCTACTGAACGCAGAATTACAGGTCACTTGTTCCAAAGAAATTTTCCCACTTATTTATAATAAGCTGCTTTATCAAGGAGGCACACCCAAAGAGACAGATGTTACCGACTTTACCAATAGCCATGAGTAGCTGGTTACGGCCTTAAAGCTTTTTCAACTGATCTACAGGTCCATTTTCACTTGAAAAAGAAGCCATTTCCTGGTACACACAACGCTTTATTTTGTTTTTGCACAAAATCCCAGATTCAGTGAAGAAGGCGAGCACATAGTTTGACTTGAAGCACCAGAATTAGCCCCGCCTGAAGCCAGAGGGACTCACCAATGGCTCACACTCTTCGCTGGATCATGGCCGAGATGCACGCAAGCCTAATTGAAAATGGATCATTTATAAAGCAGTGCAAAATATACAAGTTCGGGGGCATCTTCAAAAAATCTCTCTTAAAAAATTATTCCAATACATTTCAGTAAAATAAATAAATATGGCTGACCAGTTTACCCTCCCTGAGACCCTTAAAGGAATAGTAAAAACTGGAAAAGGAATGTCTTTGCAATATCCCACTAATGTTAAATTGTGGATTGAGAAAGTCATAGTATTTAAAACTATGTATAATAAATTGTCTTGATGCTCATAGGAAGCATCTGGTTTCCTTTGGTTCTTTTAATACTTTAAAAATGCTTAAAAAGGTAAAGACAGCCTATACTGTGAATATAAGCAAAATTAAGTTGGGGTGCCCACGTTAAAGTTTCAGAGTAAAACCACTGCTGCAAAGGCACTGCTACTGCACATACCTTGGAGCTGGGGCTGTAACAGATCCCTACTCACACATTTCTGTCGCCAGTGTGAAAGGAACCTATGTCTGCTACTCAAAACCACACAGATTTTAAAAGAAATCTTAAATCAGTTGCCTCCACAAAGAGAAATTACTCTTGCTAAGCAAGTAATTCACAATATAACAAGCTGGCACAAAGTTGTCGAAATGCGGCCCTCTTTCATCATGCCCGAAAGTTATGCATTTGATGTCAAATGAAGCCATAGCCTCTGCACCTGAAATTACTGCAAAGCACCCTGGGGCCACTAAATAAAGACGAAAAGCCAAAAAGGTTTGGGATTTGTTGTTCTGTTTCACCTCTTCAGCCTAGTGTTTTAGCAGGATAATGCATGGAAGGTAAACTGTAAAGCAACATTAACAGGCCAAGAAAAGAAATTACAGTCTGAATAGCTTTAGAGCAAGAACGAAGGAGATGCTGGTAATGAGCATGAGCCACACGTGCCACTCACTTGCCAGCATGAAAGTTTTTCCCTACTTTTGCTCCCATCACAGGAGACTGAGAAGTGTCCAAACGCTGACAAGCCCAGCATCATCACTGGAGGAGATTCTGTTCAGAAACCACTCTTGGAACAGAGATGGATTTCAAGAAGAGCCACCCCAACAGCACAGATGGGACAGACGAGGACTGACCCACATGCCACGGGCTGGAATGAGCACCAGCTTGCTCCCTCAACCTGCAATCACTCCCAGCCCTACGGCTCCCTGCTGCCTTCTAACCCAAAGCAAACCACTCCAGTTCTAAAGTTATCTTGGTCACTGATGCAGATGGACTAAATTTATTAAATCTAAGAACACCAAACATCTGTGGGATTGGCTACGCACAAGAGTGATAGTCATGTTACTAAAACAATGACTCTGTGCCATGCCAGTACCACTCCAGTTGCGAATGCTTATGCTCCAGCTGGACATGAACTTGCACATCACCAATCTGAATTACCCTCAGGGAAATACAAGCTACCTGGAGTAATCTTTTCTCATTTCAGATCCCAAGCTATAAAAATCAAAACCGTGTGTCCAGTACATTTTAGACATTGCTTAGGGAAGAAACGGGGAAGGAACAATAGAGAGAACAGGTCCCATCCAGATTCAAACCTTCAGGAACGCTTTTCACCTAAGACCAGTTCCATTTCAGTTTCAGTACTTTCACAGAAGGGGACTGTCCCAGATCTTGAACTGTTCAAAAATGATTTTTTTTTTTCACTTCACAGTGTTTCAAGCACCAGCGTTTCCATGTATTGGTTTCAAATAACCCTTTATATATATTTATTTATATATATATTTATATATAATTTATATCAAAACTGATAGTACACAGTATAACTGGAAGAAGAACTGAACTTAAAAAGGATATGTTGAAAGAGGATGGAGTTTGTGAATGCAATAAATAAAGCCCCCTTCCCTCCCCACCCGCTCCCTACCCCAAAACAAAAAGTTGTAATGTTCATGGAAAATTGTGCACAGCAGATATTATAAAAAAGTAGGTTCAGGAGCACATCCAATTATAAATGATTGTTAGGAAAATCATATAAAACAATGGAATACATAAAAGTGTCAAGAGTAATCGTCAGGGTGAGAAATTCCTTGGTGTCCAGATGCCCACGGCAAGCAGAAGTTATCCTGGTTGCATCAGTAAGAGGTCGATGTCCGAGTGTGTGTGTTCAAGCACAGAAGAGGCTCTCCAGGATCTGAACAGCATGGGCAGGTGGAGTGTTTGAATTTCATACCCTGAATTCATAGTTTCCACAACTGCATGTGCAATTTTCAGAAAGATTCATCGTTGACTGCTGACATGTCCCCCTTTGGCGTGGAGGAACGGGACGAGCCCTTGTCTGTGCTCTCAGAGCCCGAGCTGCTCTGATTCTGTTGCTCTGATCCTGCACTGGAGGTCACTGTAGAAGACGACGTGGAAGAAGAGCGAGTCTTTTCTTTAAAGTCTGTGATAATTACTGTGACATTCCCCACTGTGACTGCCAGCTGCTGTGCGGTACTTCTGTCCACATTTTTCAGTCTGGGTCTAAAAGAAATGAGAAAACATTTATAAAGCAGATAAAAATAAGCGAGAAGGGAAAACTTTATTAGGAAAAGGATTTGACAACAAACTCCATGTGACTTTCCCTATGGTTGCCCACACAGATGGCAGTAACTGGGAGAGCCCAAGCAGCAGTGAATGCTGCACAGCAGAAGATGAAGGTTTGACCTGCTTCCCTGTGACAGCCTGGGTCACGAGGGCTGCAGCAGCATGCTCAGCCCCAGAGGAAAGACCTGTCTTGCAAACGGTGTCTGCTGTGGACTTATTCCTAATCCAAGTCTGCCAGAAAGGAGGACACTACAGCAGAGCCAAGCGGACAGGAGCCAGACAGACCAAAGGATCTTCTCCCCAAGGGGCAGATGAAAGCATTCTCTTATCTAAATTCACCATCTCATCATGTGCCCTGATGTTATGAGACAAGGCTGTGACTCTGCAATACAAAACCACATGAAAGCATTTGACCACGGTTCTTTCATTCCCATATTGAAACTCTGCAGCTGCAAACAACACAGGCACTGGGACAACTTGGCTTCTCTTTCAACTGCTTTGAGCTTATACAAATCAGATGCCCAATCAGCCTATGTATAAAATTGCTCTAAATGTTCCCTCTGGAACTGAGGCTATTGTAAATAAAACCCAGAATGTGCAACAGTGTTTCTTGCAGCTAGCGTTTTTGGTTAGGGGAAAGGATGGGGGGATCAAAGCCACCAGAACACACCACATTGGTATTTATTACTCAAGATTATCTCAGTAATTTGCATGCTGTGCTATCATTCAATTAGTAATGCAGTTAATAAGGGCCTAGACTCTAGGAAGCTGACAGTCACGCACATTTCAGAGGCTGGTCCAAAGCTTTAATACAACAAATTTTGGACACTCCTCCAGCTACCAGAGAATTCCAAGTCAGCTGCAGCAACTGCTGCAATTTACAGCTTTTGCTCCTAATTAAAGGTCAGGCTGAAGCAGTGGAATATTCCCAAAAGGGAAATTAAAATGGAGAGTCTTTATACATCACTGAAAAGTAGCTTGCCGAGAACTGCCTTATTTCCCAGGGATGGAGGGAAGGTTAGTTTACTTTGGGATCAAGCTCCAGCTTTTAAACCAATCCATCTTTCCTCCTGCTTGTCTGCAGCACATTAGGCTAGTGCGATCAAAACAAAAAAAAAGAGGAAATTTGACAAACTTGGTATTCACCATGCACACTCAGTGGTCTGCAGGGGTAAGTTAACAAGGGGAAAGTCCTTAAGTAGTCATTATCCAAGTGGCATTCTAGAACTGGACAGAATAAAGTATTAAGACTGGATGTATGGCTTCAAAAATAGAACAACTGCACCTCTGCAAACTTCCTTACCAAAAATGACGTTACTGCACCACAAACAGTATTTGCATACCTAGCTTAGGAGGCTGGTTCAATTTTTAACAAGTACTAGAGGAAAAGCCTTTTGACTAGATAGAAAATACAATTCAAACAATCACTGCACTGGGGTAACTGTCAGTAAAACCTCCTACTTAAAACAGCCCCTTGGTTCAGTGACCAGCCTTTTCAGACCCACAGCTGAGCTTAGTGAATTCCCGCAGCAGTGAGACACACACACCCACATATATGCGTCGGGCATACGCATTTGCAGGCGCTGGCAAACTCAACACATAACCACAGGCTAGATGAAATGATGTCACCTTGTTTGTGGGTAACAAGAAAGGCCAGATAAATCAGCATGTTTTGGGGTTTCCGTCAGCTTTCAGATAGCATCTCTGCAGATGCAGGCTGCCCCCAAAGCATCGGTAGCAAACACAGCAGCAAGCGTTCCCGGAAGCGTAGTACGCATACGTATTTTCCTCCCTAAGCCCCAAGTTCCTCTAGGAAACCCAGTTCTTCCTGTAATTTGCCTGGGTCATTTGTTTTCTCTTGTACTCAGAAACAGTTGAAAAAATGCTGGCCCAGATACCGGAACAGACCTTTCTTCCTCCACCTTTCAACAGGGCTGAACAGGCACATGAACTCCCACTACTGCTTGTCAAAAGCCAGTGCCAATAGTGGTATTCAGGGGACAAAAAAAGGAAGACTAAAATGAGTTCATATGGCCTAAGCTGCATTCTGCCCAGAAAAGCTCCTGCTACCAGCAGCCTTTGAGATAAGCCATGCACCAAGCACCTGAATGAAACTGCCCATGCACCTTTAAAGGCCAAGACAAAGTCACATGAAAGGACTCTGTGGAAGCAGGGCTGAGGTGCAGGATATCTCTACAGTACTGCTCACGAACATATTCTCAATGTCAGTTTTAGAACTGAGCTCTCCAACCATTGCTGCAGCCAGTTTTAGGAGTCTCCCCTGTGCAAAGAGCTGATGAAGCACAGATGGAAACCTAGTCTCTCTTCAGCACATGCATACTATTTTTGTTTCCTATAGAAGGCAAAGGGATGGCCCCATTCACATTATTCTGCAATATTAAACACCCTGATGTTTTATGTTTATAGCTGAAAGGATTTATGGCCAAATAAGAAAGGTGTTTCAAAACCATGAATATGAAAGTGTACAAGAAGTCATGGAACAGACCAAAGTATTTTGTCAGAAACAATCCAATAAGTTCAAAAAGGACTTCTTAGAAATCCAGGGATCCTTAAAAGCCAATTTACAAAAACAGTTAAGAAATCTGGGCATGAAAAAAATCTGAACATGTAAGTTGTATAAAAACCAGATCCTTTAAAAAGACAGAACTTCTGAGGGCAGTGAACTGCAAGAAAGGTTCCACTAAACTAAATGCTTAAAGACTGTTTAACAACAGAAGGAGATGATGTATCCCTTAAAAACATCCAGCTAGACCTGATATTATTAAGGATTAATTGGGAATGACAGAAGCTTGCTACAAAGCATGGACTAAAAGACTCTGCAGTAGACAGAGCGACTCCTTCAAAGAGTAAAAACAATTATTTGTTGTAATCTATCAATTTAATATTATGTCATCAGTCAAGTGCATCAAGTCTCCTACAACTTAGGTCTGAAAATAAGTACCATTCCAAACAGAATGGGGAAAAATAAATCACTGCAATAAAGCCATATTTCTCTAATCAAATGAGGAATGGACACTTTGATCTTTGGGGGCTGAGGAAGAGTTAACAGCAGTCCCTGCAAACAGCTCAGTCTTCTAGCAGAGCAAATCTCACATGCCCTCACTACATTCAAGTCAGTTACTGTGTAAAGGATATTTACTCTTATTAAAGAGTTTCATGCTATTATTTAGAAACTTCCAAGACAACTGTTTTCTGCAGTCATGTCTTGCCAACCTTAATGCTAATAGCAGCATGAACCAGATTTCCCATGTGCTTTACAACTGTCTGCAGCTAATACTGCTTCAGTTCATGTGGCTTCACTGTAAAATACTTATTACAGCATGTTTTAAAAAGAGATGCAATTCTTCTATAGCCCACATAGGCAAAGTGCCCTGTTGAATTCTGCCTCTTAGAGCTCTCCAAGTTCAGTAATCTAAAAACTGCTCTTTGATGCTGAATTTTTAAGAAATAAAGCACAAGGTGTCACTTAAAGAAAACAAGCACAGAGTATTGGTACAGGAAAGACTAGGAAGAAACCTTTCTCCACAGACAGCTACTCACTTGAAACCTAGATAAAAGCAAAACCAACCATTCACGCTTTTTGTTGGTACCAAGATTCTAGCAAAGCTGTTCATGAAGGTTTTTAATCCAATATACTTGGAAAATTAATTACAGTGACTGAATTGCAGATAAAGAAGCTAAAAAAGTGACCTTTGTTACTGCTATCAAGTGATGATAAGAATGTTACACACCACTACAAATACTGGTTAATGTTTTTCCACTCGCTGTGTTTTATACCAAAAGCATTACTGCCCAATTGACAATATGATTACTATAGCAGAGAAATGAAAACTGAGTGGACAACAGAGTAAGTATTTCCAATGCCTGAATCCGTCCTCACCAGCAGAGTGTCTGAGTGCTTGTACACTGAGACGGCTCATAGCCACTGATGGTCTTGCCATACTAAACCAATGCCCTGTGGGTTAGATGGTACTCTGTCCATCAAAAAAAAAAAAACAAACAAAACCACATTGTTTGCTATTTAACACAGCTGTCAGATACCAAGAGCTTAACTATAAAGTTACCTTGAAGTGTGATTTGAGTCGCTGGTCTTTGTTGTAGTATTCCCAGACTGTATGCTGTTCGCTTCGCTAGGAGGATCTTTCACAATGTCTGACTTTGGTCTGTAAAATTGGAAGGAAGACAGAGAGTATGACATTAGTTGTACTACATGATTAATCAATGCACAATGCTACTGAAACCACATCATGTTTAATAGGGTACCCTTCAAACTTACTTAGTCTTCTTGTTAGCGTTCTTCTTTGTAACACTTGGACTAATTTCCTTCTCTTTGTCAGGTTTTTCTTTGTCTTGTTTTTCCACTTTCTCCTTCTTCTCCTTCTTAGGTGGTGGTGGGGTTGCATATTGCTGGGCAACTTGCTGTGCCACCAACTGAGAGTTTATTCTAGGTTTTCTATAATGACAATAAAAAGATAGATCTATAGTCAGTTTTACACAATAAAAATCACTTCACCAAGAGCAGTACGAAGATTTATTTCAACAACCAAATGGATGCTCTTATTTAATGTGAAATACTACTGCTGCTACCGAACACGATACAAATTTTAAAATTAAGAAACACTCCAAATTGCTGTTTCACATCAGTTTTTGGCCTCATTAAACATTCTTAAGTGTAATGCTCCCTTTCTTCCGTCCATGTCATGAAATCACAGTCAACTGTAGGGGACAATATTGAAAAAGTAGCTTTCAAGAAGTTTGCCAGCTGCATGCTGTGGGTACACTTCAAGAGAAGAACACAGAATGATAAAAGTAAGTTTCCCAATAAACAGTCTCCTGCATATTTTCAATTTAATTTTTCAAATGAGCTTCTGGTTACCCAAAGCAGCCAATCTTGCGCAAATAACAAAGAGCAAGAGAAGGTAACTGAGAGGACTTTGTCCCAAGGACCACGACCGAAGCTCCCTGACAGGAGGACAGAAGACAAGTGGGCATTCATGGTTCCATGGGGCTACAGCCGTGCCAGGCTCCGACACACCATCTTTACACTATTGTCTGCAGTTCCCAATGGTTTTCGGATAAAACACACAGGCAAACTGTTTTCCAAAGACTATTTCCATTTCAAATTATGATTTACACAAAAAAGTAGCCTTGCAAGTAACCAATAGCTTGGTTATTGGTCCTCACATGTCTTGTAGAAATTGGTACCTTCGTCCCTCCTGCATTCCTCATCCAAACTGTAATATCCTCTCAGCGTAACAGCTTAAGACCTCTCCCTCCTGGCCTGGCATATCACAAAGCCGTTTATACTTTGAACACTCAGACTACCGTGATCGATCCAACCTCTTTAACATGCCAGAAAGATCTATGCTCCCTATGTCCACACAGCTTGCAGGGGCGGGGGGGGGGGGTGGGAAGAACAGGTTATTGACTCCATTAGTTGTCCATTATGAGCCGAATACTAATTGCAATAGTTGTTTAAGCACATCCATAGCCATTATCTTGGTCATAAATACGATTCAAGTATTTCACATCAGCCTACAACAGATTGCCAAGGAAAACAGTACACAAGTATCATTAAGTCACAACTGGCACACAGAAACCCAAGGGTTTCTGCTGTATAGCTCTGTACCTGCATCCATTTTTTACTAGAAACATCTAGAGAGACTTTAATAAGCTTAGTGAATTCATGTGATAAAGAAAAAAAGTACAAAACACTAATTGCTCATATCTGCATTCAGAGATGATACAGACAATGGAACACTCAGAGAAGTTCTACTCCCTGTCACAGGAAGGTACAAGTAACTAATAAACCTCTTGACACTGGTTTTCTGTATAATGGTAACAAGATGTGCTTACTGAAGCCAGATATACCCAAATATTTAATTTCATTTCAGAACCACAGCTTATTATAAACTATGCAACAGGTTGTAATCAGGCCTGTGACCTGTCTCAATACCACTGGCACTTGGATTTTCCACCCAACACAGAAACTGTAACTAATTTTATGCTACAAGCTGCATTCATTTCTGAGGAAAGATTACCTGATCTTCAGCCTTAAGTAACTATGATGCTGAAACATTTTGCAGATTGTATCAAGCAGTTACCTGTTCCACAGAACAGAGAAGATATTCAGCATCCTTGCATTTGAAGTCCCATATATAGCAATTTCTGTCTGTAAGACTGAGAATAAACACGTCAGAAGAAGCGTTTGGGTTACACGGAAAAGATTTTCAGATTGATGCAACCACACCAAAAGCTGACAACAGTAGCTTGTGTCAAGCAACCTGCTAACCACCTACTCAAAAAAGAAAAAAAAAAAAGGAAAAAGAAGAGATAAAGTATCAAGAAATCTTCAAAGAGAGGGCAGATACCATCTCCCTGTGTGATTATACATGATTAACATCACTGCTTGAAGCTGCCACTTCTGCTCAGGCTTACAGTTATTTGCTGTTTACACAGCCAGCTAAGCCAGAAACCCGAGCCATTCATGGGAAATCCCACTTCAAGAATTTGAGAGCACCTTCAAAGATTTTCTACTTTGCACAACTGATGTGCCTGCTTGTGATGTTATTCCTAAGGCTTACATCCAATCTCTGCAGTGACAGAGCTGCCGCTCCTGTTGCGGGAGGTGCTGCACTGCTTGAGTGAAGATACAAATTTTAAAATGGTAACTTCAACTAAAATAAACAAATAATAAAAAATAATACATAAATAAATCACACTGCATGTCCCCAGAGAAGGCTGGAATCCAAAAAAGACCAGCCCTGAAGTGCTCCTGCAGAGACACTTCGCCCCATGATCTTCCGCTCCTTATTTGTGACAGCACAGTACATTTAAGTTTTATCACATTCTGGCCAGCCATTCATATAACTAGCACAACTTCTCCAAACACCGTTATTTGCATACTCCTGCTTACATGCCAGGATGGCTCCCTAGTAAGGGCAAACCCCAGACTGAAAGGGAAGAGAGCAGGCAGCAGCATGCGTAGACAAGGGACATGCAGGAAGGGGCACCAGGCCTGCTGATGGGGTTTCTCCTGCCACACCAAGGAAGGAGGCAGGAAGGTGCTGAGACTCCTGTCAACACCAAGCATGTTTCAACATCTACTAGAACAGTTTTATTTATTTATTTTAAGTAACGCAAATAACCCATTCACTTTCCAATTCCTAATTTGGCCATTTCACACACTAGCAGCAAGGCTAGGAAGGTTAAAAAACAGGGAGGTTAAGCAACTGGCATACTAATAGTAAGAATAATAGGAGTAATAAAATCCTTCAAATAAGGCACATGCTGCTACTACAGCCAGAATACACTGGTTACAAACCCTTTACAAAAAAGCCAAGCAAAGCAAGTAGAGCAGCACATTTTTAACCAAAGCAAACTATAACCATAGTAACCATAATCAAGTAAAGTAGCTGCAATATCCAAAACTTGCTCCCAGTTTCCATGCTTACCAAAAAAACACTTCAAGGGCAAACACTGATCTAACCCAACACCCCTAGCAAAGACCACAGAATTACAGTATGGTTTGGGTTGGAAGGGACCTTCAGATCACCCAGCTCCAACACCCTGACACAGGCAGAGATACCCTTCCATAGACCAAGTTGCTCCCAGCCCCATCCAACCTGCCCTTGAACACTGCCAGGGATGGGGCAGCCACAGCTTCTCTGGGCACCCTGTGGCAGTGCCTCAGCACCCTCACAGGGAAGAGCTCCCTAATATCTAACCTAAATATCCCCTCTCTCAGGTTAAAGCCATTCCCCGCTTTTTCCTATCACTATGTGCTCTTACAAATGTAAAATCACTGATACTCTGCAGTGGATACTAGTCATTTTCCCCAGCAGTATCTGAACATGGAAGAAGAAAGAAGTATCAGTGGAGAGAAACAAGCCTCATTCTCAGTTGGGCTACAATTCAACATGCTCTGCCTTCTACTGCAGAATTCAGAGTCAAAAACTGAACAGAAAGTTAAAAGCATTTCTGTATTTTTACTGTAAGAATAAACAGCTGCAGAAACAAGTATTAACCATGTTTCATCCCCAGATCGGCTTATCAGCTTGCTTTCCATGACATTAGATGTATTCTTTGTTTGTATGAACCATTTAAGTGAGAAAAATCAAACCCCAACTCAGCCTCTTCCAAACTTTCTAACCACTATTTGCACTGAAGAAGTATATTGTCATTTAGTAGAAGGTTTAAAGTATCAACATTACACAAAAATCTCAGCTAACAAGTCTCAACTTCCAAAAACATACTTAGTATTACATCTGGTTCTTGTACTCCTAAGCAGACCCCAAATACTTGAGCAAGTATCTGAGATACTTCTACCTAAAGGAACATTAAGATAAAGTTGTGTTTTGATCAGACAATTTTCCCCTAAATTAAGCAACAGTCTGGGTAAAGACTCAACCATTATGACCCAACACTGACATGACAAATACATGAACATTATCTTCTTTTTTTCAACCCCTTTAAAACTAAGAGCGATTAAACTGCTTTAAACTGTGCTTTCAAAGTTACCTTCAGCCAGATAAACTGTTTCACACTAGTTAAACATAGTTTACATCACAGAAGCAGGTATTTGCTCAATAATTCACAATCTTTGCAGCAAGGACATACTAAGGCACAAAGAGCTGAAATACATTGTCTATTCTGAGCATAGCTTTGGCGCATTGGTATTTACCATCAACTATCATAGATGATGCACACAAATATTCTTTACTATCTTTCAGTAACAGACCTGCACAGAAATATAATGCCTGCAAATACTATACCCTCAGATTGTCATATGAAGCAACACTGGGACATTTGGCTCATAGGAAGTGAAATAAATGCAAACCTTTTCCCGAAGGGCTCACTGCCTATGTTACTGCGCTCTTGAAATGAAAAAAAAACAAACAAACAAAAAAACAAAAACAAAACCCCAAAAAGCAACAACAAAAACACAACTGTAGTTTTAAGGTTCTGGCAAGCATCTCACAGTGTTTTACTACTTGCATTTTTTCCTCTATCTCAAAGCTTTCTTTAAAGCCCCTTTCGGGACCAATTCCAGAGGGCTACTGCCCAGGAATTCTGCTGCTCCACTCATAACCCCTGCAAATGGGCTGAGGAGCAGAGCAGCACAAATCACCGCACAACCAACACACGGTAGTTACTCAGACCTGGATTTCAACAGGGATATAGGAGGATAAGCTGCACCATATTTTTATGTGACCCTAATTTCTGTAAATGTTTGGGATTTACCTGGTCCTTCTGCCTTGAGTAAAGGCAAACCACCCACCTCCTGTGGACACAGTGAGGCAGAGACAGCAGCTGGCTTTATACCCACAGCAACACAGAGACCCTGAGGAACCCCGGCAATCCCCAGAAATGTGGATCTAATTACAAATGCTGCTGCTTCCTTACAACTATGTTATCAGAAGAATGAAAGTGGCATCGAGTGGGATTTCAGAG